TTAAGTGCTGATGGGTTAGTCTTGAAGATATATTTTATGAGGTAATATTTCTTGTGGTTTTTACAAGTTATTATTTCTCACTTTTATTTCTCATTATTATTTCTCACTTTTATATTTTAGGATTCCTTTTTCTGCTTAGATGAATAAGTATGTAAATTTAATTACATTACACAATTGATGTCTCAAAAATCATACTCCTCACTGTTTAAAATTTTGGCTAGTATTTGACTAAATGTCTCAAAGAGGTTTCCATGTTTTTTTTGTACTGTTATTTTTTTCATCAATTATGAATGACACTAGTATTGTTTAAATTATAAGGATATTTAGTTTTTTTTAAGTTTTTTTTTTGTTTTTTTTATAGCTTTTAGCTTTTAAGAATTGCACCTCCACTGAAACATTCCTAGGTCCGCCACTGGGAGAGATCCGATATCCATATCCATATTTGAACGTTAATATTGTCCCTAGTCCCATAGATTTTGTTCGGTCAATTAAATCTTGTGCGGAAAATGGGTCCAATTAGTCATCCATCTCCAGGCATGAAAAGGACGATCAGTTTTAAACAAGGGAATGGGGGTTGGTCGGGGGAAGAAGAAATTTCCTCTGGGAAGAATGGGGAAAGAAGAAATTGGAGAGAGAGAAAGAGAGAGGAGATTTATTTTTTAAATTTTTTGCCCATGCCAAGTCATCATTTTTAATGGAAAAGTTGACTGAAATAACGGAAATGACGATTTCTGAAAGTGGAGGCATAATTAAAGTACCCTCGTAACAATTTAGCAATATGAGGGGCGAAAAGTAAAGTTTGGTCTTAGTCCAGGGACCATTGCTACAATTTTGCCTTTTTTTTTTCTTTTCCGTCTTCTTCCTCTCTCCCTGTCTTCTCTCTCTCTCTCTCTCTCTCTCTCTCTCTCTCACTCATTTTTCCTTCTTATTCTTCTCTCCCTCTCACTTTCTTTCAAGAATCCAATTCAAAGTAGGTGTTGTCTTCTTCCCCAAGTGCACAACACCTTCTTTGCAACACAGATGCACAAATATGAAAATCCATTCTAACACCGCCTCCCTCCCCTTCCTCATCCGCAGGTAACAAAATTCAGCAAAATAAATTGATGGCAAAACCAAATCAATGGACACTTAGCCAACAGCCACGGTCAAATAAAACAAGACCCACAGTGGCTGAGACAAATCAAACACCAAATGAAGTTCATTGCAATAGAAGAAATATATAGAGCACTTCGTCATCTCTAAATTTGCAAGTGATTTCATCAATTCTATGAACAATATGAAGACAGCAAAAAGTTATTATAGAAGGACATTCGAAATAGTCAAGTGTGTGAAAACACTTCAAGCCAAAATAGTTATTAGCGTTAATTGCAGTTTAGTACCCTGTAGTGACATCTTTAAGACATATTAGTCCTTATCTTTTCAACTTTTACAATCACATATTCTGATCTTTTAAATTTATTACAATGTGGTTCTGCCTTTAGGGTTTCAGTCAGATCTCTCTGTTAGTTGCCTATGTGGCATTTATGGGTCCCACATTTTTTTATTTTATATTTAGGTGTAATAAAATATTCATATAATTTTTAAAAATCAATTAAAAAAATTAGGGCAAAAAACCCACACTACCCATTTTCTTCATCGTCCAATGGAAAAAGAAAGAAACATGTGTTTATCTTCATCGCCAACACCACACCACCCATTTTCTCCTCAGATCTGAACCCTATTCTTCTTCTCTGCCAGTTGCAACCTTTTTATCAAGACCTGATTTTCTAGAGACCCTTTTTTATTTCCCCTATTTTCAAGCAATGGAGAAGCAAAAACTAAACCTAGAAATTAGAGAATTTTGGGAAGGGAACCAGAAACTTGTGACATAAAGCTCTTCATTTGTGACACAAAATCAAAACTTGAAAATTTTCAGAACTTGGAAGTTGATTGCAAAAAATTTCAAAAAGGTAGGTCAAACTCTTCATCCTCCCTTGCGAACTTAAACTCCAGATCCCATGGTCGTTGACTCGTTGGGTTTGTGGTTGAGGGTTGCGAAGAAGAAATTCGGAGGTTGGGGGGTGGAGAAGGGCGGAGGGATGGGTCTGGGTTTGTGATGGGGGAGAAAAAATCGGGGGGGGGGGGGGGGGGAGAGATGGGGAAGGTCTTCATGGTTGGTATAGTGATGGATGGAGGCTGGTCGGGATAGGAAGGGAGAAGGAAGGGGGGAGGAGGGTGTGGTGGTCATGGGGAAAGGAGGAGAATAACTAAGATAATATTTTTAAAATTTTGGTCTTCTGTATAAACTAAGATTTTTTTTTTCTCTTTTTCCTCCATTTTTCCAAAAAAATAATATTTTATTCATACATTAATCAATTTAAAATTAAAAAAAGAAAAATATGGGACCCATAAATGCCTTGTAAGCAACTAACAGAGAGATATGACGGAAGCCCTAATGGCGGAATCACATTGTAACAAATTAAAAAGATCGGGGTATGTGATTGTAAAAATTAAAAAGATATGGACTAACATGTCTTAAGGGTGTAATTACAGGGTATTAAACTGTAATTAACCCTAGTTATTATGTATAACACCAACTAGACAATACCACTTACAAGAGGCCCTCACGTGGCCTCCCAACCAAAAAGTAACAAAAAAAAACAACTTATATTAAGGGAGCTGATTATCCCACTCATTTTTTGTCTACTTACAATTAGGGGTGGGCACTTAAACCGGCGAACCGGAAATTCGAGCCGAATCGCACCTAACCAAATTGAAAAAAAATCAAGTAGACCAAATAGTCAACAACCGGTCAAAAATCGAACCGGATCGATTTTGGATTCGGTTCCATGTCTTCAAACATCGAACTGGGTTGAACCGAACCGATCAAATTGAAAAATATATAATTTCAATATATATTTATATTTAATGCTATATTTTTAATTTCACAACAACAAAAAAACTAATATTTTTCCAAGTTCAATTTCAAAATATCTCTTTTTTCTAACTATAATATTTATTTTTATATGAAATTGAATAATTTGTTAATTTTCAAGTAATAATAATAATATTTCAATTGAGAATTCTATTAAAAATTAATTTTTATAATCCGGTTCCAAATCAAATTGAACCGGATAGTTTTTGAATTTTTTTTATTAAAATCAAACCGAACCAAACCGAATGAATAGTAATAGATTGATTCTAATTTGGGGCAAAAACCTGTCCAAATTGGACCCATTTTCCTCACAAGATTTAATTGACCGAACAAAATCTATGGGACTAGGGACAATATTAATGTTCAAATATGGATATCGGATCTCTCCTCCCCCACACCCAGAATTGTTCTTCCCCCTCCAGCTTGATAACACACATCAGACCCCACACCCAGATTTGTTCCCTTCCCAACCCGATTTCTCTCCCCCACACACACATCAGACCCCAAATCCTCCAACAAAACCAAATAACAAAATAACAAAATAACAAAATAAAAGCCTCAGAAAGAAAGAAAGAAAAAATGGAAAGAGAAAAAAAAAATTGCCAGTGGCGTCTCTATTCAATCCAGCACAAGAAAAGACAAATATGCCCTCATTTTTAACGGAAAAGTTGACTAAGATGACGGAAATGATGATTTCTGAAAGTGAAGGCATAATTAAAGTACAGCCATAACAATTTAGCAATATAAGGGACGAAAAGTAAAGTTTGGTCTTAGTCTAGAGACTATTGCTACAATTGACCCAAAAAAAAAAAAAAACAAAGAAGGAGAAAGAGAGAATAAATCATGATTTTACATTTTCTTTATTATTTTTTGGTATTGTCCTTGTAAAATGACATATTTACCCTTATAAATAACAAAAAATTGGATGGAAGTCTAAAATCTTGACGACAGGTTCTAAATTGACCATTTAAAATAGTCTGAGGGTTAAATTGGCTGAAAAAATAATTTAAGGTGGAGGTTTCGACAAGCGTAATAGTTCAGGAGGGTATTTGACAGTTTACCCGTGTTATAAAAAACAACTCTCAGTCACTTCTCTCAATTTTGTATTGTTCGTTGTTTTTTTATTACTTTTTCCTTCACTTTTTCTTTAAGTGGTTCGCATCCAGATCTGCAAGTGCAACAAAGCTTTAGTTTTTATGCCTCTGTTTAAATTTTTTATAATATGCTACTGCTACGAATTGAACTTTTGTTTGTGTTTTTTCTTCCCACAGTTTCAGTTTCTAATTCCCACTTGGTTCTCACTGTATCAATTAGCATACCAAAAAAAAAGGTTCTCATTGTTTATCTCCCATACTATAAAAAAAAAACCAAAAACAAAATTTAGCACACCTTCAGAAAAATTCATGGTTCCGCCATTGATTCTGCCCTTTCTTTCGTCTTTTCAATCTATATTTTCTTCTCCTCGATCTCTTATGTTCTTCTCTATTCTATTGTTTTAAGTGTTTAATCTAATACCTGCTGACTGTACTACTACAGTTATTTTAATAAAAATAGTGTTTTCATCTTGTTTCCCTTTGTAGCAGCTCAAGTATGTTATATGAAAAACAAATAAGACATTTTTTAATAGCGGTTTTGCTAAATCCAGAACAGTTAAGTTGATGAATAATAGGCAATTTGAAATCGACCAACAGAGATCACGATTCAAATCAAATGCACATAATTTTTAGATCAACACAATTCCATGCAGTGCAAAATAATCGAAATACAACATTCTAATTATAGTATGAACAGTAAAAAAAAACTTCGGGGAACAAAAAAACGACTATGGTTTAAGCCTTGCACAATCTCGATATAATTTATAGATATTTATAAAAATACCCAATCCTAGACATGTATTTATAAAAATACCCAATCCTAGACATGTATTTATAAAAATACCCAAGCACTATTTAAACATAGAAACATACCCAAAATGGGTTTTGGATATGTGTGTAATGATGAGTTTTGGGTATGTTTATAAAAGGGTTTTGAGTGTGTGTAATGATAAGTTGTGGGTATGTTTATAAAGTGTTTTGGGTGTTGGGTATTTTTATAATTTCAGCCCCCATTTTGGGTATTTTAGTGAAACTCCCTATAATTTAAGCCTTGCACGATCTCGATATAATTTAAGCACTGTACTAACTACAGGCATACAAATTCAACAGTTGAAGGCAGTTTTGTTTTAATGAGTTGCACAGCGTGCTCTCTTGCCTCTGCCACATCAGAGAGTTCTTCACTACCCGGTTCATAGGGATACGCCCAACGTCGGAGAGGATCAATAACAATTTTCTCTAATGCAGTAGCACTCTTTATTAAGAACAAGATATGATCAACAGCAGATGCACGCGCACGATACCCGACTATTTCTACTACCTTGAGGTAATGATGGGGGCATTTCGCAGCTTTCTTTATTTTTTCTATGTCCTCCAGGGATACAATGAAATCCAACTGCGCCAAGAAAAGAAAAAAAGTGTTAAGACAAAACAAGAACCAGAAGGAATGAAGTCTATTAGCATGTTTCATCACACAGCATAATTTAACCTTTTTTGTTTTTGTTGTACTTTTCATTCTTCAGAATTGTTAATGGAACCAAAAGAAGATGAACAAAATCAACAAAAGTGCCCATACAAAGACTTACATATAGTTTTACTACGTAATCTACTGAGTACAAGCATATACCTTCAACACAAGTCTTTGCAGGAAAGGAGATGCTTTTAGAAAAGAAGTTAAATGATGAAGAGCCAGACGGTAATCTGCATGAACTATTAATTCCAAATGCTTGAGATTTGCCAGCATAGGAAACACATGTTTCGGATTATAATCCTGAAAACCAAACAAGGAACAATGAGCTACATAATCCATAAAAGAAGAAAAGAAAACCAACACATCATAATTACATATACTAACCGCTCTAGTGATTTTCAGCATGAGAATCTCCAGTTGCGAAAGGCAGCATGAAAGTTTGCTAGAGAAAAGCTCTATGAATGCACGGGGGTTGGAAATATAGGAAATGGACACCTCTACAAGCAATGGTACATTAGTGAGAAGCAGGTTTATCACACTTCCGTCATATTTAAATGAAACAAGGTTTGCCTCACAAATCTCTATGCCTTGAAGGCCAAGACAAGCTCCTATAGCTAAATGCTTCAATGCAGCCGATGGACGAACAACTCTTAAATTAACCAAACTTTTTGTTCCGTACACAGTTACCCGTTCAAGAACTGCACAGTTGGACAAGAAGTATTCAAGAACTTCATCAGTAACATCAACCCATTGGAAATGAAGAACTTTGAGGGACTGAAATCCAACTTTGTATCCACAGGGGCGTAGACTTGGAATGTAAGAATACAAGCACTTCTTTTCGAGACCTAATAGTTTGTGGGGAAACGCATAGAAATTTAATGAAGCACTGTCCAATTGTGAAAAAAACTTCAACACGAGTGTTGTAACTCCCTTTTCAATTGCAAACTGAATCCATTTGTCAATGGAACTTGTAAACCGATCATTTAGTTGAAAGCAAACACTGAATTCCTCAATGTTTGGGCCTCTATGTTGTTCCACCACACGATTCACCCAATTGACATATCTACCACTTTCCAGGTCTCTTAATTTTCGTTTGAGGGCTCCGAAGCGGCAGATATTGCTACCAACATCAAAGTTAGCATCAAAGTTGAGAACCATAGTGGACATCCACACATACTGCCAACGTCTAGAAAGGATACTAGTAGCTGCGGCTTCCTTTAGTGGCAAGAGAGACAATATACTGACAAGAATTTCATCTGGCATCGCACTAATTCTGTCCAACGAGTTGTACACACCTTTTTTTCCCTCATTCTTTCCTTCACAACATCTGCGTCGCTTTCCCAAGTTGCACTCAAACTTCTAATTTCATGATTCAATCACATTGTTATATTCAATTTACATAAAGAATAATAAACAAAACAATAATAATAACAATAATACCGACCAAAACACACCTATATACAAGAGAAAGAACAACGCATTAAAATTTTCTACAAGTTAGATATGGAAAAATAAAAAAGGACGCTACTTCTAAACCATTTAGATACCAGCGTAACTGAAAAAAAAAATACAAGGGTTCCAATTTATACAAGTTTAATATCTGGGAAATGAAAAGGATCCAACTTTCAAACCAATTAGATATTCCAGATGTAGAGAATGTGCAAGGATTGGATTAGTTCAGACAACAGCTCAACCGATTACATTACAACGGATTGGTTTGGTTCGGTTTTGACTAACATCTCAGGGGTAACCAAACCAAACAAAACCATTGGTGGTCGGTTTGATTTTGCAGGTTCGGGCCTAACCCAAATCCATTTTTACAGACCTGCTACTGACTTTCAAAACATAAAATGTCCAGTCAAACCCAACCTGCTTACAAGTACTAAGCATTCTATCAATTTAAAATTTTCAAAACATCAACATTTCATCAAACAATCCTAATTTCCAGCATATCAAACCTTCAATAACTCATCTAAGTTCACTAATTTCATGGTTTCATCACATTATTAAATTTAACTTACATATAGAATAATCAAAATAAAACAATCATAACTACAATAAAACCGACCAGAACGCACCTATATACAAGAGAAAGAACAAAGGATGAAAATTTTCTACAAGTTAGATATGGAGAAATAAAAAGGATGTAAATTTTAAACCATTTAGAAATCTGGGTAATTAAAAAAAAAAGGTGCCAACTTAATACCGGTTTAATATCTGGGAAATCAAAAGGATTTCAAACCAATTAGCAATTTTAAGAGACTAAATGCTAACAAATACCCAAGTTATCAGAACTCACCACCATTGGGACTGAGTCAGATTGATCCATAATCACCACGAAAGCAGCAAGCACACCACCCGTTAGCAATTCGAGGCCTCGTTATATCCATATATAAATTTTAAAACAAATTATGTGAAGAAAGATAAAAATTAATTTAAAAATTGTTGAACAGGCTTACCAAATCTCTGAGACTGAGACACTGATCAATTAGAGTGTGAGGGAGGGGATTGAGAAGATCGGCTGACTTGGTTCGGAAGGGTTAGGCGAGGGACTGAAAGTGAGGCATCGCGGCGGAGAGAGAGAGAGAGAGAGAGAGAGAGCCTGAGATGCTTGACTGAGGAAGAGGATTCTGTTGAGTTATGTTAGACCGAAAAACAAAAACAAAAACAAAAAGATTCGAACGTGAGAGAGACATGAGTTGAGTCCGAGTCCGACTCGGACTTGTTTTGGGTTTACAATCAAAAGCGGAAAGTACGGTAGAATTATGGCTTAAAATAGGGAACCTACGGGATAACTGAGGTGTGCTTCCCTCCTAAAATAATTTTTTTTTTTTTTTTTTTTTTCAGGTGTTGACATATTAGGACAAATATGAGCCCTTCGCTGCTAGAGACAATTAAAATGTAGCATGATATTATATTTTATAAAATTATTTATTAGATGGCTAAATATAGACCTCACCACCTGCAAATAACCTAAACATAATCCACCTATAAAATTTAGCCCACCATTTATAGTTTTTTAAGGAATAGTGTTGGGTTATATTTCTACCGTCGCCGAGTAGTGGAGGGCTAAATCATAACCCCCTTAATATTTTATTAATCTTTAGAATATTCTTTAAATATATTGAATAATTTAATTAAAATACTATCTTAGACCTTATTTACAAATTATTTTAGAAGAGAAAAATATTTTTGGATAGAATTTTAAAAAAGGAAAATATTTTCAAATATGATATCATTAATTTAAAAGCAACAACAGCCCACCCAAAAAATCAAAACATTAATTTTAAAACAACAACACAATAATTTTAAAAATAATAAAATAACCCACCCAGGAACCGGGCCATCGCCCAACCTTGAAATCAAGACGACGTTGGCGGATCCCTGAACTAGCTATGCTATAGTAGAGGAATATGAAGTGACGTCCCTGTGCCATATGTACTCGATTGTTGGAGAGGGAGGCATGGGTCAACTTTGTTACCAACTAAGATTTTGCCTCTTTCGGGCTTCCCTCTTTCTTCATGATGTTTTTTTTGGTTTCAACACCTGTTTAAAAACATGGAAAAAACATAACTTTTTTCCTCTTCCTTTCTAGATGGCAGAGGGAGCTACTTTAATGGAATTTCTTTATTTATGGGGTGCAGATGATCATTTCCCCACTCATTCCCTTTGTGTGATTGTTGTGCCTAGTCTTGCCGCATTCGAGAGTTTAGAAGTTGAGATTGAATTACACATTTGGCCCTTTAGGCTTGCTGACTGGATTTGGCCCACTTATACGACACATATAGCCCATTTGCTGGAGATGAGTTTTGAGTGTGAAATGGCTAAATGTGAGGGTATAGCCCATTGTTGGAGATGGCCTCAGTCGTCTTATCACATATCTTCTCCCTCTCCGTTGTTTGATTTTCTGCTACCTTGCGAACCATCTGTTACTCATCAATAGGGGTAGGCGCGATCCATTTGGTCCGGTTTTCACCTCACATTGGAACCGAAATCGATATTGTTCAACCGGTGCAATTCGGTAAAGTTTTGGTGAAAAAAATTATGAAACTGGAGTTCCGATTTGGATAGGATTTTTTATATTATATATATTTCAATTTTTTTTACAAATTCCAACTTAAATTTAATTTCTTGTGCTTAAAAAAATCCCAAATGACCCAATTTCATGTAACGATAGATGATTGGGCCTAGAAAAGATAGGTGCTTTGAAGTTGGGCTTAAGGAAATATTAATTATAGGATTAGAAATTTACCATTAGACATAAATAATTTATTTTTTAAAGATTTAAGAAAAAATCCGATATAGTCTAGTCTAGTTTGATTTTGTAAGGTGTGAAATTGACACCGAAATCAATTTGAACCAGTCCGATCCAATTTGGTGTAGGTTTGTTGGCCTTTTCAATCAGTACGATTTTTTCCGTCCGATGCAATTTGGTGTTCTGATTTTCCGCTCTCAATGCCTAACCCCTACTCATCAGTCCCTCCCCCCAACACCCCACCCCCCTCCTCCCTCCTAGATCCATGCAACTTCCTACACCTTAATTCTTTTAAGATCCATTTGATTAGTTGAATACTTGACATCTTCACTAGATCAAAAGATTCTTAAACATTTCTAGTGAGAATACTTCCACAACTTGAAAATAGGAAGAATAGCACGCACTCATAAACAAAAGATCCATCCAATTTACCAAGAAGTGCAAAAGGGCCCAATCTGCACATTCCCTCCAATTTATGAATGTGAAGTCAAATGTCTACAAGTAATAACACGTACAATTTTGTTTTTAGTAAATGTTGACTTGATTTCTACATAACAACTTCTCGAAGCCCTAGTATTGCCCCTAGTTGATCTCAAAGAATTTGTTCAAAATGCATCTCTGTAAACATCCAGACATATGAAAGGTATGCAAGGAACATCCTGAGAAAAATCATGCTATCCCCAACAATTTGATACCCATCTTTATAATTGACGGGTGCACTTCTAAAGAATTTCTCTTTTTATACTATAAAACCAATTTTTTTTTAAGGGGAAAAAAAATCGATGATGGTTCCTCTCCCTATCAATCCGATTAGGTCTTCTTTGCGTAAATCATCAGCACAAGTGCAACCTAATTACAAGAATAGGTTTTTTAACTTTTGTTATCCAGTAAAATTGATCACCTGCCTTGGAGATAATATTAAGCTAAGGACAATTCCATCTCTCAAGATCATAAGAAATTCTCACAGTCGATTTGGGGAAGTAATTCAAAGCTTAATCAAACACTTGGAGAGCTGGTGACAAAATGGTGGGAAGGATCGGGGGTTAATTGGCTAATTTAGTGGTCATGTGCAAGGCATGTGATCACTTTTAATTATGATTATAACATATGTGGATATGTCCTTACTAAAACACACCACTTGTAACAATGGTCAAAGTTCATGGACCATCGGCATAAATTTTTTCAAAATTAAAAGACTATTTTTCTGAAGGAAGCTAAGATTGAGGCTTTTTTTTAATTTTATCCCATGTAGGCTGAAGCATAAGTTCGAGCTGTCCCTTGAATAACGATATTAAATGGGAATTTGAATGTGACAATGTGTTCTGTAGCATAGGATAAATGTGTCAGCATTGGATCTTCTGTTTTCATCTCCGAAGAACCAGGTAAAATGGATTTGTCTGCTCATATCCAGTTGATATTTCCAATGTTTCTTGTTTGATTCGAGCAACCAAAAGATTGAATGAGCAGAAATTTGGGTTTTTTGCCTTTTTTTTCTAGATTGATTCAGAGCATTTCTTTCTTGTTTATAAAGTCAAGTTTGGGGAACAGGTTTGTCTCATTGCACTATAACAAGCTCTATCCATCTATGCCTTGCTTCTCATTCCCAAACCCTAAAATGACATGCATCCATTCTTGTTTGTGGCCTTTTGTACTGGTGTCCATGTTGTTAGTTGCTATGTGCAGTTTCTCAGGCATGAACATGAGCCATCATCATATTGATAGTCATATGTTGCTTCTTGTTTCAGGTTTTGGGAGAGTGTTTCTTGCTAAATTGGATGCTGCTTTCTTTGCTTTGCAGATTGCTATGATCCTTTGGACCCAAATGGAAACTTTACGATTACTTTCGACACTTATGATTGGACAGATGATGGCTATTTGGTTAGCATGCTGTGATTCTGCTCAAACCTTGATGTTGTTTGGTTCAATTATATCATCAGGAACAGATTTTTAAAAACTACTAGAAAATTTGTTGAAGCTGCACTTTAACATCCACAACTTTATGACTGCCAAGTATTCTGAGGCAATTGGAATCCTGTTAAGCTCATACTTTCGTCATATCAGTGTACATTTGTGTAAACTGTGTCTCCAAAACACCAATTTTCTTAGTACAAAGCCTTTATAAACTCTGTTTTTTTTATTACAGAACACAATTTTTTTGGGACTTCTAAAAAACTTGCACCTTCAACATCCCATTGAAGATTTCATCATTTTAATCTTCTTAGTTAGACTTTGTTTGCACACTCCTGCCTGTCCAACGACATTTATAGTTGTTCTGCACAAGGCTGAATATGTGAACAAACTTTGGAGTGTCACTTGTATGTTTTTTATTATGAAGTCTTGAAATATTTGTGAGCAAGCCTATACACAATATACAACTACTAACAGAAACTTTTGCAGGCAAAAGCAACCATCCAAAATTTCTTTCAGTATCGTCACGTGGACAAGCCTGGTTGGCAGATTGGGTGGATATGGCAGCAGAATGAAGTCATTTGGTCAATGAATGGTGCCTTTGCCACAGAACAAGGAAACTGCTCAAACTACAAGACTGATATACCACACTCCTGCAAGAATGATCCTGAAATACTTGATCTCATGCCTGATGCTTCCTCAGATAACAAATCCGAAGACTGCTGCCGCGGCGGTGTTCTTGATGCCCTGGCTATCAACCCCTCCAAGTCTTTCTCTTCCTTTGGAATTAAAGTTGGCAATTTGGGAGGAGCTCCTTTTTCAGGAGATCCACCTCTGAATCTTACTCTGAAGGCACCAGGTCCTGGTTACACTTGTGGGCCACTTAAGAGTGTTGATCCCACAGTTTCTTTGGATTTTGGGGGTAGAAGACAGCGCCAAGTTTTCAGTAAGCACTTTAACCAATACATATATATGGAAATGTTCTCTTGTTATACCGTTTGGAAACGTAAAACCATTCTTTCAGACCACAAGTAACAAAAGTCTGTTAACAAAACATTACCCTACGTATAAAATTGAGATTTTCTCCTGACAGTATGTGAATCATAACCGTTGATTATATACAGTTATGTATGAAAGTGGTTCAGATTCACAGTTCTGACATACAGTTAAACGTATGCTACTTCAGGATTCTTTTTCTTACTTTGGAGGATGATTGGAAAACCTTTGATGTTAACATTTCATCAATTACTTGTTTGCAGGAACATGGAAAGCAATATGCACTTATTCCAGTTTTTTAGCTAGTGAGACTCCAGTCTGTTGCGTTTCACTCTCTTCATTTTACAATCCTGAGATCACATCATGCCCCAAGTGTAGCTGTGGATGCAGAGAAGTAACAGACAAAAACTTCGGTACATGTCTAAGGTTGGGCTGCTTTGTTTTTTTTTTTTTTTTTTTTTTTTG